AAAATATATCTATTAGCCGTAAGTATCTCGTTATAATTTTCAATATTTATTTTATATTGTGTACTAATGTTAAATTGTATTCTATTTTGATTTTCAAATTGCTTCAATTTTACGAAAGATTCGATGCGAGATTTAGAATTTTCGTGTCTTTTGCCAGCTTTACTCAAATTATTTAAATCATCAAAGCCAATCTCATTTTATACACTAATTTTATTTGAAAATAGTAGGCCAGGCCAACAAAACAATTTTTGCATTTTTATGCATCCACAAAGCCATTTTATATCTTCATAAATTTTATCGTGAAAATGTCCAACAAATTTTTTTGTCGACGTATTTATATTTAATTTAGGCATTGGTCTTTCTCTTCTAATAATGTCTTCTTTTTCATTATAAGGGCTCGAGCCAAAACTTTTTGAAATAAATTTTCAATATCACAATTACATTCTAAATTGCCAGCTATAAGGGCTAAAATTAAAAATAAAATTATAAAAACTTACTTGTTAAAATAAAATGTGTGATCGATATACAATTATATATACCTGGTACAAAATATTCGATTGTACGAATATAGTTTGTGAAGAAACGTACATAAAAATAGTATAAGATATTCTTTACTTTTTAAATATTAAAACAATACACTTAGTTAAAAGTGCTCCCTACCAGTGGCTTGTGGATGGAATCGGAGACGATCTTGGTAGGTGTGCGGCGCGTGCATGCGTGCCAAATCCCGAGGGTGCCGATACCGGTTAACGCCTTTTGTCGTGTCACTAGTATATCTCAAAGGACGCGACAGGGTTGTTGTAAATTTTAAACGTTTCTCATCATAGCTGTAAAAATCTAAATACGTTAAACTTAATAGATTGTCCGTCTTTTGTTTTCTAACTAATTCGTTTTAGAACCAGGTGTTGCCCACGGAAATTTCCAAAATTTACAACTTTTCTGTCACTCTCGTCGAACTGGAAAAATGTATCTTTATTACATCTAATACAGTATTTCGAAGAAATCGGTCCCCACTGTACTCGGCTATAGATTGGTTCGGTTAAGCTTTTGTTTAAGTAATATTCCGGCTCTTTCGTCAGGGTTTTGTTTATGTCCCCAATTCCCTAATCGATTAATTATTTAACTACTACTTAAGTAGAAATAAGTCGAAACCAGTTACTTTGTACTCGAATATTTGTAGTCTCGGGAAAAAGTGGAAAGACAAATTTTTATGACAAACGGATACATAAATCGTAAATTTAAGGAAAATAAATTCTAGAGCTTTTTCTGTACCTGGTGCATCTCTCTCATTCATTAAATTTAGTTGTAAATGATGCTACCAAAGTAACAGTTAATTTTTTAACATTATACAAGAATTGTACACGTTTTTTTCTACATCCCCTTAAAGATGGGATGTACGAAATCGTAATATCACCGGTTTAACATCGAAATCCGTGAGTAATATAAAATCGGAAAGCGGAATAAATATATCAAATATTTTAATGGATTTTTTTAACTCCTGTCAACTATACAGAACTATCGTAAAAACATACCAGTAAATTCTTATCGGTTGGGTTAAGTTATAAATCTACTCGTTATTCACGTAATCGAAATATCTAGTGGGCAGGCGGCTAACAGCCCAGAACCGGTCCTTGATAGAATTGGAATCTTTATATGTGTGCAGCTTTCACCCAAGGTCGTAGGCTTCCACCGGCTAAACCGGGTGAGGTTGGTGCTCTGTAAAGCGCATGCGCAAATCTGGCTTTTCGTAATCTGAAAATACAGGAGATTCCACTCCGCCACTAATATTCTAATATACAATAGCAATTTTTTTTCCACGTGTAGTATAGAAATTTGTAATAAGATACATAATGCGGTTATAATAAAATATTGTGCGATTATTTTCGTATAATTAAAATTAATATCTATTTATTTTTTAGAAAATACAAGGGAGGCGGCGCTTCCACCGCTTCTAATGACGGCACGCCACTGGTATTTTAATTTGTGTAGTGAAGTTTGATGAAAACTGTAATGATAAATTATCCTGAAAGAAAAACTGAATAAATAATTTTTTAAAGACAGTAGTTTGTAGTAGTTAGTCACTGAAAAAATGCGGTTACAGATAAAAAACGACTGTTAAACTCTCGAAGTTTGTAATTTTTTAAGAGAAAACTTTCTTTTAAAAAAATTGTCTTTAAAATATTTTTTTAAAAACTGCACCATAAATAAATACATATATTTCTTACTTATACATGAATAAGTAATTCTTATTAACCATATATTATTAAAAATGCATTTATAAATAAAATACAGAACTGGAAATGATCATTTGTGGTTTAGCCTAATGACAAGTAAATTCGTTTTTCGACTTTTGTAAGAGGTCTGTTTACGTAAAAAATCGAAAATGACAAATTTATTTAGAAATAAAATCCAAAAAATATATTACTATGTAGAATAAAAACAGAAGAAAACAATGGCGAAAACTTCATAAGTCTAACATGAAGAAATGTTTCGTGTATATATTTAATCAGGTGTGCGAAAGATGTTTTGCTCCATTCATTCCAGCGGTCAAAGCTGAGGCTAGTATGTTTTGATATATACAGATATACTTCAACTTTATGAAAGCATTGTGTTAATTAAACAATAGAGAAGAAGGTGGTATTATGGAACCCCAATTACATTTTGGTGAATTGTAAACAAGGTATCATAACTACACCCACATTTTTTGTGCGAAAAGTACCGGTAACTAGTAATTCAAATGTTCCTAATTGGATTTTTCGCTAGTGTAACTATAAGTATGGTTTTTGAAGGCTTTTGTACAAAAAGTCCGAAAGTAGGCTTAGAGAAAATCGGGTGGTAATATGGAACCTTACTGTATATTTTCAAAAAAATGCTTTAATGTAGCCAAAAACAAATAGGAAAGGACAAAAAATGTTAAATAATTACAAAATTATTTACTCCAATGTATTTTATCGCAAAAATGCTTTTATAATAGAAAAATATGACCTCCATCAACAATATATATTCCAGCAGCTCTTTTTCGATATTCTCAGGAAGAATTGGCTTTCTACCTAGTGTCTTTTTCACAAATTGCTCTGGAGGAATGTCTGCTTGCAAATAGAAAGTTCGGAGGAGTTGAGTTCCATATTACTGTAAAAGCACCAATGGGGTCCGTATTTCACGCATCGCCATCTCGAATTAACTTATGTCTGTCAAGACCAAAATTTAAAAAACGTGAACATCACACAGATTAATATGTACCCCTAAGTCTCTGGAACGGAATACATGCACCAGTGAACCTACAACTACACGATTTATATTTTAAAAATAATTAAATTCACTTAGCATTCAAAACTTGCGAATTTTGAAAAAAACAAATTTGCTGATTAAATACGGACAACCGTTTAACTGAAGTAAAACGGGTTTTCCCCTTGCTATGGATGTCTGCCTAGTTCAGTTCATCCACATTCCGCTACAGTTCGCCTTTATTATCAGTTCGAAATGGGGTGATTCCATAATACCCACAATGTTCCATAATACCACCTTCTCCTCTACAATTTAGTACTTTTAAAACGTTTTTTAAATTTTTTGTTTCATTTTCTGCAAAAGTTTACTTTGATTTTTAAATTAAAATGCTTAAGTTTTTTTCTGAAAATGCAATCAAACAAACATTTATTATTATTGATTATTTGAAAACGTTGACAACTTAGTGACAAACGTTGCAACTTTTCTATTGAAAATTTGGAAAAAGTGCTTGTAATACGAGTGCTCGTATATTGTGAAACTATGGGAAACATTCCCCTGTGGTATCAGAAGTGTAATATCTCGTGAGGGGTCGCCCTACACGTATGGGCAACTCCTCACGAGATATAGCCCCCAAAATCGGGTCGCGCGAGGGGGTTTACAGTCGACCTCTACTTAATAATTAATATTCGAAACGAAAGCCACGTAAACGAACGAGTGCGACCACATTTGCATCTTTAACCCCTTAAAGACATTGAGATTTTATAATCATTAATTTAATTAAACGTAAAAAATACTTAAAACTGAAAAAAAACGAAAGAAATGCGTTAATTTTGAAGAAAAAGCTTCAAATTTTATTTTCCTTTGTCTCGCCTTTCTGTGAAATTTAACACCGATGAGTCATTGTTTACACAGCTGGATGACCTTGAACACAGCTGAAGTTGGATTTCCCGGGACATTCTCATACGCGTCTCGGGAGGACAAGGGTTTAAAGTATGGTGAATATGAGCGACACGTATATTTTTAAATATTTTTAAAAAATTAAGATTTTAATTGCGATTTCCGACCCCCCTAATTAATTAAACTTATATATAATAAAATCTATTAATTAAAAAAATTAAAAACTATCGGAGGTCGTTTTTGACATCAGAAAGCAGCTTTAAATAACTTTACCGAAGGAAAATCGGTGCACTACTTTAGAACGATTAATTAATTTTGATAAAAAAACTCCCATTAAAAAAACATTAAAAGGCAATTAAGCCTTAATCGAGCCTTATCAAAGGCTCATTAAAATCGCAATAAAATTTTTTCGCGCGGGCAAAAAATTCTGAAAAAATTTGGGGACCTAAAAAACATTCCAAAAATTCAAAAAAAAATTGGGGGCCCAAACGCCCGCGTTTTTCGTAACGCTATGTAACTTGCCCGAGTTATCTCGGGTTATGGGCGTAAGGGACTCAATCCGATTAAAGGAAAAAGTAATATGTAATTGATACTTAAATTAAAATAAACGGCGCTCCTGTAATCGAAATAAGTTTACAAAAATGAACAATTTTTAGTTTCCATTATAAAGATTACTTAAAGCAAAAATATTTCCAGGATATTTTACATTGTTAATAAACACGTTAAGAAAAGATTCCAAAAGTGAAGAAAAAATTAGATATTTATTATTAATAATGACAACACATTAAATGAATTGTTAATAACTCAGCACTCAGACTACTACTTACTTCCCAAATACATAGAATCTACATTAATAAATACCTAAGTCAACAATAATTAATGTTATCAAAAGCATTTATTTTTTGTCTGTCTTTACAATTATTTTGTTATTTTGTAGGTGTTTGTTGTTATACATTTTTTTACTTATATTGATTTGGCTAACTCTTAAAATTTGTCTCCTTGAAAAGGGCTTTTTAAACTAGCCTTTTAATTTAGGGACTTTTAAACTAGAAAATAAAGATGAAAAATACAATTATTTTTAAAACACATTTTCCTAAAACCCGCTGTCTAGTGATCACAAGCACAGATGAATTTTACATTGGTTCCACATATGTCCAGTGTGAAAGGAAAAAACAAAAGACCATTCCTTCGTGGCCCCTCATTCTCGAAATTCTTGAGGATCAATTGCAGATGTGGAGTTAATGAGTAGCAGAAATCATTTAATTATTGGGTATTCTCCTGTTCTGTCAAAGTTTCTGAAATTATAAGCAAAAAAATGAAGTGAACTATATTTTCTAGAAATTATCACATCGGGAGACACCATAATCACCAATCAACTACTTTATTTTACTATAAGTAATAGACAGGCATCGTGGAATCAGACAGGCTCACAAAAAGCTTGACATATCAGGGACAGACCATCCGTAAATAATTCCTGCAGTTGCTCATTCAAATTCAAACCTGGGTCCCCAGAGCAGTAGGTTGATAGCAATGCCTCAGTTAGCCAGTTAACTCTGTAAAATAGTTTAGCAAACAAGAGGATTTTTTAATTAAAAAATTACTAATATTTAATTACATAAAATATAAAAAATTTAATAAATTAGTTAATAAATTTTCTTACCGATAAAATATATTTTCTTTGGTTTAGGATTTTCATAATCCAATGGTCCAGTCATTACTCTTTTTAAAGTTTTCATTAAAACAAAAATGACTTTTATATACTCGCATCAGAATAATTTATAATTCTTGTTATTTTTTTTTCAACTTCTGCTTTTTACATCTTTACATAATCTTGTTCCTAATAAAACAGAGTGATTTAAAAAGATTATTGACAAACTTAACAAAAAGAACTTACAATTAGAAACCAATGTTTTCCAAAGTACAGTAGAGTATCGATTATCCAAAACAATTTGGGACTGGGGTTGTTTGGATAACTGATTTTTTGGATAACCGATTATGTGCGAAAAAATATATTAACCTATCCCATGTTGAAATTCGTTCAAATCCTGGCACATCCTTAAGTACCCTCTCATGGTTGTGCCAGTGCTGCCAGCTAAAACATGCACACCAACACCAACAAAAATGATATTGGAGTAGCCCAAGATATAGCCAAATATTGCAGCACCACAGCATTAGCAGAAACTTTAATTTGCCAACTGGAACACTTTTGGTTAACCGATGTTTTGGTTGATCGATATTCAGATAATCAATGCTCTACTGTAATTGTAAATCAATAAAAGCCTTTGAATGTAAGAAACAACATAGGCAACAAAACAATGAAATATTCTCAATTTGCACAAAATTTAATAAGTAAAGAAAGATTACATGAACTTACAAAAGGTGTTTGAATTGGCAATCACAACATGCAATTCAGCCATTGCATACTCAAACAAAACCCTGGTTCATTCTCTCAAATATGCCAGTCATCCCCCCAGACAATGTTGAATGCTGCAATTATTCTGGCTAAAAGTATTTCTGGGTTATTCACTGGTATCTCATTGTTATTGTATGAATAGAAAGCCAGCAAACCAAACACACTTACTGGTATCTCATAAATGAGCATTTAATATATCCCAAAGAAAATAATTAAGATGCATCAAGTCAAGGAAGTAGACTGGTCATGCAACCAGACTGCTTGTTTCAATCCTATACCTGGGATATGTGCAATTCAAAAATTCCAGCACATAGAGAGTAAAATATACTTGTATTCTATCATATTGCATTCACATTTGTTGCTATACAATACGTGGCATGTCATTTAATAATTCAGAAATGGTCTTTTCGAAAAACATTCTTTAAATCTTTCCATTCAAATGTGGTTGCAGGAGATAAGTCCTGATGAGGTGATCACTAATAATACCTGCTTATAAGTTCACTGCAATAAGTTCTCTTGATGATGGTGGTGGTGAACAAATGTAGTATTGGAATTATGTTCCACCTAAACATGGCTATTTTAACAATTGAAGAAACCAGCTCTGTTGAATGATCTTATCTGTGAACATCATTATGCTCAAAAATAAAGACTATGGATGCAAAATCTATTGACAAAATTGCACCTGTCATGGGAAGTCTTCCACAGATAATCCATGAACTTATGTGGAAAGTAGAAATGCAGCTGGTTATCATGTAAGACTCACCTTACTCTGCTTTGTAAAATTTCCATTTGATTAATTATAGCATGTTTGCTGACAGATAGCTATTCTTTTGCATATAAAAGTATATCCTCTTCAACAGCAACTGTTCAAATGACCTACTTGCAATTCTGTGAGATGCACTATATGCAGGAAACCATTTTCCCTGACTCACCAGAAAATATTTTGGAACATATCAATATTAATTAATTCAACTTTAACAAAAATTTGCTAATTATAAACTAAATATTGTAAATTTTGTAGACATTTAAATTTTTCATTGTTAACAAGTTTGTTTTGTCGAATTTTGAAACTTTATCTATCTAAAGTTAGATATAAGGTTGAGATTTGAAACCTTAAAGTACTATTGCTGAAATATGAAGTAATAATAAAATCAAATTATTAGACCAATCCAACGGTTCTTCACATTTACTCAGCTTATAAGAATTACATACAAACATTTTATTTTTGAAGTTTAGGGAAAGCTTAGTAGTTCTGTGAAAAATGCGAATGTTGCATTAGAAGAATATTATATCTACATTTTTGTGTGCTTATCATTATTGTGTCAGTGCAAATTATAATTTTTTATATCATCAATAGACTTAAAATATATTTTGTGGAAATACAAAAATAATATTAAGATAATTACCATTTGTGGAAACATAAGTTAATTTGAAGGGACTTGAAAATGTTCTTGCCCCCCATACTTCTCTAAAATTTTTTCTTTCATCCTACGTTTCAATTCTTCCCTTTTCTCTTTGAACTGATTGAACAATAGTTCCACTTTTGTAGGTTCGGACACGATGTCCATGCCTTTTTCGTATGCTTGCCAAGCAAACACTAGAAAAATTACAAATGTTTATAAATTAAACTTCACAGCTTTTCTTGTAATTAATAAAAAGCTTTAAAAACTTGTCAGAAATTCTTGTGTCAATACATGTTTTAAAATTAAGTATTAATCTTAAATAATTTAAATATTTAAATGATCCTTGCAATAGCATTAATAATTAATTATATAGTACTCTACATATGTATATATCTACAAGATTTTTTAATTTGACTGTACAGAATATAAATTAATTAAATCTAAAGATAATTGCTTTTTATTAAATTTTACCATTATTATTTTAAATTTATTTAATGTTTGTCATGTTATCTAGTTCAGAAATTGCTAAATATGACAGAAAATACTGGTAGTGACCTGAAGAAAAAGAAAAAAAATGGCTTATTTGCTGTCTTAATCATCTTATTTTATTGTTCTCTATTCTTGATAAATGATTATAAAATCATTTTTCAAGGATTGAAAATTCTGTTTTGTGATAATTAAATAAAATTAATGTTTTTAACGAATGATTTTTTGGATTTCATTACAGATTTATACAACAAACAAACTGTTAGAAAAAGTTATACCAAGTGATGGGGATCACATGGTATAACTTGGTAACAAGATCAACTTGTTTTTCCATGTGATATTTAAACAATTTATAATGTTATATATTTTAAATTTTAAACTTCATGGCTTAGAAATTTTTGTAACTTTTATATGTAACATGAAACAGTTGATTTTTAACATTTAACATGCCTCACTTTATCACTGATTTAGCTACAGTTGCCTTCCTTTCTTCTGCAACCTTGGACAAACTAAAAAGTTAGATTTGGTTATTTACTAACACATTAGTCTTTCCTATATGTGTGTTCAAGGTAAAAATAACTTAAAAAATTATGGTAAGTAACATCCCCACACACACCCTAATAAAATAAATATAGATAATAACTATACATAACGTTATGAACCCTATTACAGCAACTAATTTAATGTTATGAGCCTATGAGACTAATTAATACAAACTAACAACATATTCTGGACCTCAGTACTCTCTGAGAAGGAAAATGTATCCAACTTAATGAAAACAAAGAATAAAATCTATGCACTTTAACATGTCCAGCATATGCTGTATAACATACCCAAGGTGTGCTAAAATAGAAAAACTAACCCTTTAAATAAAAGTAATTTTTGTACAGAAAGTTTGCATTAAGATGTTTTTCATTTCAAAAGACCATGAAAGGCTTACATTTCACTCATAATGCACTCCAACCAGTATGATAATTTGGGGTCAACTGTAAAAAAAATTATGGATTCAATCCATAATTTTATGCTAATCACACACCTTAGATCATTAATTAATTTCATTGAAGTTGTAAAATCTTCAAATGTTCTGAAGATTAAAGTAGGTTTACTCTAAACACAAATGATGGTCTGTCTGAAATGATAATATGTCTGGTTTCTACATTTTGATACAAAAACTGAAGGTGTATTGATGGCCTCAGTTTGGATTGTTTTCCAGCTTTCTTCCCCACTCCACAGTTTCCCTGGAGAGCTGCAGAGTACTTTAAGAGGTTTAGCCCAGAAAAGCTCCATTATGAATCTGACAGATAAAAACAAATACGAGTATTCGCTGCATTGGATAGAACTGAGCAGCATTTGGCCAAAGATGCCCTTTTACTATTACTCTGTTACAGTTACAAAATCAATGTGTCAAATGGAACATTAGTCCTCTGTAAGCATTCCATTTTATGCATCATTCAATTCTGTGTCTTACCTGAAGATGGTCATTCAAAATAATCAAAAAGGTTGGTAATTAAAAGGTTTTGCTGTGCACAGAGATTGTTTGTACTGTCTAAATATCTACTGTTGCAGTTTCTAGTTGTTACCATAAAGTTTGTTTATTTGTTACAAATAATAATATAAGTAAACAGTGTTTTTTGCTCATTATTTCTGAATACAGATCTCAGAATATTTTTTTTCAGTAAATACTGTATTCATATATCCAGATAAAAGAAACAATTTTTCTTGGGTGTAAAAAAGTGGGTGTGTGTTTTGCAGAAAGATGTATAGGAATATAATTTGTGAATATAGTTATTCTGTACCTAAAGCAAAAGAAAAACAAAGTAGGTCCTTATCAATGTCATATTTTATTTTCCTATGAATTACAATATTTCAATAAGTCATGTATTATTAAATAAATTGTAATGTAACTCATTGATTAAATAAACAAAAATTATGAAATTAATTCTGTCTTTGTTTTTCAATTCAGATTGTATTTTATACAACTAGAAATGACTATGACTTACTTTTGCATAAAATTAAACTTTAATTCACCTAAACTAAAAGAGAAAAAGAGAGAAAATTTACCCTGTGTCCGAGAATGTTTTTCTGTATCTCCGGTAACTCTAACAAAATTATCTCCAGCATACTGTAACCTAATAATAAAACAATTAAACATTATTTTTAAATACTATCATCATGTTTTCCTTAAAATATTGCATTTTTAGACTAAATTTAAAAAAACTATAATTTGTTTAAAAATTAATATTTATATATTAAAAATATCTTGTAGAATGTAATCTTTCAACACTAAGAAAAACGTTTTATCAGATTAACCAAGAGTGATAGTATAATTCTAAATGATTGGCTATCTTAAATACTTAAAATAAATGCTCAATTTTTAAATTAAGCCCATTATTACAACATAAGCTTTCATTACTACTCTTTTTATCAGCAGCCAATATTATATTTGTATGAATGAAAAAAGCCTATCATTATTATGCATATTTCAAGTTGTGCTGATACTTTCACAATATTGTTAAAATAACCACAAATTTTTCAATTTTAAAATTTGAACAAATTCTGCATGATGATAGAAATCAATACACCATATTTCATTAGTGTCTAAAATAAGTCACGACTGATCTGTTTGAGATGTCTATGAAGACTGTTTTAGAATATTTACAAGCAGATTTTAAAACAGAATTTTGTCTTTTGTAGTAATTTTTAAGCTCGTTCATTTACTGTCATCAAGACACTTACCTCAGAGGATTAACATTAATATATTTATTACTCAAATTTACCCCGATTATCAAATATTACACAATATTTGATTTTTCTCTTTTATAACTAATGGAAGAAAAAAGTGAATGATCTGTAAACATTCTATCTTGATTGCAACTGATGACAACTTTTAATTTATTTTATAGTAAAGGACCAAATATCCGACTTCCAGAAATCCGAAATTACTAAAAAATTGGCTATTTTTGAAATTGGCCAGTTTTGATTTTGGCAGACTGTAGTATAATGTAACTCACAACACATAGCCTCTTTGTTTTGGTTTCCCTGGCATACACATCACATGATGTCATAAGAATTTTAAGTGAATTAATACAATGTTAACTAAAATTATGTTGTGTTCAAAGCTTTTTGTTGTATTTCTTAAATCTCACAACTTCACAAATGCAGGACCTATCATACAAGATGTGTTTAAAAGAATATGGCAAAATTAATCACTTTGAATTGTTGCTTTTGTATGCAGTTTGGTCTAAACCCCTCTTGACAATTCTTTGAAAAAACAGGTCTTGAGTTTAACTTCTTTAAAAAACTTTTTCCCATGACTTTACTCAGAACCAGTTTTCTAAAGAATTGAGAGAGATGAAGAGGGCTTTAGACCTGAAATAACAATTCAAAGTGATTAATTTTGTTTCCCTAAATAAAATATCATTTTATTTAAAAAAACGTTCATTTTATTTATGCCAAATCAAACCATAATAAAACATTTTCTACTTGATAATAATGCCTGATGAGTGAGATCATAATTTTCTTTATGCATTGATATAAATAAATCAAACCACAAACACTTCATTGTATAAATGCTGATTTTGATATATATCTGTCTTTAACCATGTTATACCACCTCATTATGTTACACAGAAATTTTTCTTTCACTTGAATTCTGAATCTGACAGGAACAGAATTGGAATAAGCTGAATAACAGTACAGTAGAGCCTCGATTATCCGACTCAATTGGGGACTGGGGTTGGTCAGATAATTGAAAAGTCGGATAACCAAAAAGTATGAAAAAATCCATTAGTGTAGTATATTATTATATCCCATGTAATTAGTATATTAGTATATCGCTATTAACCTACTTCGCGTTGAATTTTCATCGATGTTAAACCTAACAAAAATTTTTTAAAATAATAATCATCGCTATTGTATCGTTAAAAATTAGAAAATTAAGCCTCATTTAAATATTTTCTCCCTTTCATAGTCGAATGAGTGTTGCCAGCTAAAACACGTAAAAATAATATTAAAGTAGCCAAGACATAGCCAAATATTCTAGTGCCACATCACTAGCGGACATTTGAAATTTGCCGACTAGGACGGTCGGTTAACCGAGGTGTCGGTTAATCGGGGGTCGGATAATCAAGGCTCTACTGTACTTTATGGCCCCACAAAGATCTGAATCCAAGAGAAAGTATGACTCATCATCCATAGTAAGTTTTAATCCACTACTGGATGGACACAATCAATAGTTTGTAAATTTTACAATAATTATGTTTTGCCCAAATTGCTTGATTGTCTTTGTATTTTGAAGCTGATTTTTTGTTATAATCAGTCAATCAGAAGTCTTTCTGCTTTATTTCTTACACCATTGATTTTGTAAGTTTTAGTTTGTAAGCAGCCTGCAGATAGAAATGTCTGGCTTCTTTGCAAACTTCATCTAAACCTTCCTTTCATTCTTTTCATTTATCTCTTCAGACCACCTTTCCAAAATTTTGGTCTATATCAATGTTTTTGGTTTTTAAAATATTTGACAATGGCATTTTGCTTCTGTTGACATGAAAATTATAAAATCATATAATTTCATTTCTATCACAGTTTGAAACAGGACCTAGAATTTTGAACATGTTACTTGAACTTAATACCTACTAAGATTTTCTTGAACGAAATAAAATGTAGTTCCTGCAGTTAATTCAAAAATTTGCATATTGACATGGGTTGTGTCAAATTTAGCCAATAAAATTGTTTCAATTTTATTCCATGCATTCTTTAGTATTAGATAAAATAAATTTATTTTATATATTTTTATAAATGTATAAAATTAAAATAATAATAAGAATAATAATAAAAATGTTTTTTTTGAACAAATGCATTATCAATAAAAATTTTTAAAATTGGCATTTTTTAACATGTATCAAATGAACAGATCCATTTTGAAATCCTGAAATTTCAAANACCCACATTCTGTGGAGATATTTATCATGGTAGTAACCAGATCTAAGTATGATACCGGCTTGGATGTCGCCTGGGTTAACAAAGTCAGCATTCGTGGGTTAGGCAGAGGCTCACGTTCGAAAAATAGGCTCCAGTCTCCCTTGGTTACCTGTGGTGAAAGCAGCGCCAGCCCAAGCATGGCTACTGCAATGCCCTCAACAGATGTGAGGAATCAATCTAGCCTTGGTGTTTCTGTGGCAATGCATCCACAGACCGCAAAGGCTGGAAAACCACGCCAACGGATGAAATGGACATCAGAAATGAACGAGTTTATCATCCGTACTTACTACACCATCAGAAGACTCGAAACAAACATGACAGCATACAGACAACAACTACACCATAGATTCACACAACAATATCCTCACCTCACTGTCACCGAACAAAGGGTTGTTGATCAAAAAATAACAATTATACACAACAACCTTATCCCACAAACAACACTTAAACTTATCAAACAACAGGTTCCTGATCAAATACAACAACAGACAGAAACATGTAACATTAATGAAGATCACATAACCCAGGGGTGCACAACCTGTGGCCCACGGGCCACATACGGCCCCCTATCAATGTTTATGTGGCCCGCGCAGGTCAAATCCCTTCTTTCGAAGTTTCTAAGTGTAGAACTTTTTCCCTTTCACAAAGTCATTAGCACCCAACTGTTTTATGACTTTCCCTGAGGTGAGAAATGGGGGATTGTTCTATAAATAAGTCTATTTCTATCTAACACTTTCTGGTTTAGATATCGAATATTTTAAAATGATATTAGAACGTCATTTCCGATGTTATCGGGAAGTTTCTATTTTGGTGGAAAATCTTCAATTTTATGCTTCGGAAAACTTGCCTATTCGTCTAAATAGCGTCAAATAACAAAAATAAGTGAAAATAGCGCTGAAAAACCATGAAAATAACGATTTTTAAGCATTTGTTTACATTCTAGATTCTGATTGGTATAGTCGAATTTGAATCAATATTTTCTGAAAAGACGCTTATTCGTCAACCTAATGTCATTCAAACTAGAAAAAACTAACCAGAGTTAAAAAAGGAATGTACAAAAAGCTATAACAACCAATAATTTACAACAATATCTCTTCATAGACAAAGAATAGAAAAAAATTTTTCACATCAAATTTATTATTAATAAGTTGGACCAAGAAAATTAATACTGTAGTTTGAATAGAGTCATTACGACTAAAAGGAAGCCATTTGCATTAAAATATTTTGGATTTAATAATTATTACAAACTGCGTCAAGCCATAAACTTGTCAACAAAGAGGGTTGTAAAATGATTCCGTGTAGCTAGAAAGCTGCGGTTTTTTTT